AAATTGTATGCTTATACAATTCGATTAGAATTTGAATTTAGTATATATTTAGTATATATAAAAAATGTTCTATTTATTTCACTTCAATTGAACATCTTATTTTATCATCATTGCCCAAAAATATTTGCCGCAAATTGTTTTTTCGTTTATACTGAAGTTGAATAAGTTTTTCAAATATGTCAAGTGTCATTGATATTTGTCTCTGCTCTGGCAAGAAGAAAAAAAAACTGAGACAATTCACTTGGCTTGGAGTTGTCTTGGTGGTCTGGGTGGGCATCAATCAAAGTGAATGCGCTAAGGCAGACAGACAAACGTATATATCTATATACAATGTATATTTGTATATAAATACAAGTATAATATGAATTATTACTTTAGAATGACTTGGACAGGAATTTAAGTGTTTGATCAGCTTGAAGCTTGTTGACAACTGATGCCATTAGTCGAAATTACAGCGCATCGCATCACATGGCAAATGCCTTAATAGAAATAAATTGTGAGCCACAGACAGGCAGACAGTTGGATAAATGGACTGACTGATGCTCACAGCATTCCTGCCCCACCCAGCTTTGCTTGCTTTCTCGTTTTTTGGGTTTTGCCCTAACCATATTGGTTGCGTTGCTCTATTCAAACATTTCGATTCATATTTGCCTTCCTCTGGCCTCGGCTGCTTGTGGGTCATGTTTGATTTTTCCATTCTCTGACAGCTTCTGGTCAGCTCTAGGGGCGGGAGGAGGAGTAGCGAGTCGCTGATTGGTTTGACAGCTGACCAGATGATGCGATATAAACAATTGATTTAAGGACCAGCAAAAATCTAAAGTCGAAAATCTAAACTGCGAACTGTGAAGTAAACTTTTATTAAAGTGAGCTTCAACTGCGATATTTTTTGCGAATTGTTTTCTGTTTTGTGCATGCGTGTGTGTGTGTGTGTGCGGCAGAGGAAAACAAATAAATTCTAGTTTGGTTTTTATGCCCCAAACATAAAATATTTTGCATATTGCAAATGCGCACTGAAACCAAGCGCAAAATGCATTTAGGCAATTCGAGCGAAAATATATTCCGCAAATATTATATGTTATTCAATTATTATTATTATTTTTAATATTGTTCAAGCAAAACGCGCTCAGTCGACCGAAGCGTGAATATTAAATGAAATATTTGGCCAAAGCAAACAAATGATTAAATGCAAAATAGTTGCATTTCTCGCTCACGTTTATTGCTTTTGTTTACACCAAACTCGAAACGTTTGACACTCTGATAATCCCCAAAAATAAACATCAATCAATCCTTGGCTCTTTGCACTAGGCACAGTTAATTTCCTTTTGTTTTGTTAGCCATAAATTCATGTTTAAATCATCCGGCATGTTGAAACAATGTAATTGAAAATCCATTTGTGGGCAATTAGAATGGAATATGTGAGATTTTACTCGTTGCCAATGCCTGACTAGAAGAGTACCCTAGAAAAGAATCCAGCTTATAGCAAAATGTATAGATATATGTATGTAGCATGTATAATATGTATATCATACAAATATTAAAATTATACACTAAGAGTTAAAAAAAAAAAAAAGCAATTTGCCATAATTTATCTATTATTTTTATACTAAATTATGCAAGAAATTATTATTAATATTATTTTATTTATTTATTTTTTTTTTTTTTCATATAAATTTTGACATACACAAAAGCTAAATGTTTGAATACAAATATATATATATATTTTATATATTATATATATTTTTGTAGTATTATTTTTCGGTATTTTTTGTATAAGTATATGACTTAAATTATGTATATTTACTATGATGTATATATATTAACTTGTTCATTGCATAAAGCAGAATTAGCACAGTAGATTTGATTAAACAGAAATAGTCTAGAATGGTTAGACTTGGATAATTTTCACTTGACAAGAGTAGATATGGTTTGTCTGGACTGGACTGCGCGAGACTAGGCGAAGATATACTAGATTACTAGATAAATTATACTTGACTATAGCCGCTGTTAGGCTGTACTAGAATAAACTCTACATTCAACGCAGCGTCTTTAATCTGCCTCCTGTTTAAACAGTTCCCTCAATAGCTGAATGCAGTTCAATATGCATTGTTCCTTTCGAGACAAATCTTGCACCAACTTACAGCAACAGAATACTTGCTTGAATAACTTTACTCTCACGCTAAGACTCACTGGAACAAACTTTAACAAGTTCCTCAGTTTGGTCAAGGGAGCAGGAGAGAAATGTGAGCCTTAACCTTTCCTTCCCCATCTTTGCTTACTTTTGTCTAACAAACTTAAACGTTGCCTACCTAGTTCCAATTCACTTCCATTGCGCCTCTGTTTGGAGTAGCTTTAATGAATTGCGAACTGTTTTTTCAAAATGTTGTCATTTACGATGACGACGGCGTTGGCCCTGCGTAGTCGATTGGCTTACGCTGGCCCAGTTTTATTATACGCCGGCATTTATATTAATACACGTCGCCAGACGAGGAGGCTCAGCGTGGGGCAGCTGATCCTTATTGGCCCGGAAGGCCAGACGCCAGACACCAGAACTGAGAGAGATTCGAGCTGCGCCTAATGTTGCCTTATTATATAGATTGCCAGCCAAATGGTCACCCCATGCGGTGCAAAGGCCTGGCCTTCTGTTTCTATTTAGTTTCCTTGCTCTCCCTCTCCCTCTCCCTCTTCCTCTTTCTCTTTCTCTTTCTCTAGGTGTATTTAGCCTCTGTTTGTGGCTTTGCTGCCTTAAATTTGCAAGTCAATTGTGAAAGCCACTCGAGAGCTCAAGCACCGCAGCACTGGTCGGGACCTTTGAGATCGCCAATCAGTTAGCCACGTCTTCGTCGCCCCCGTCCCACATTTTTGTCAGCTGCAAGTGCAGCGCAAATTGTCAGCTCTCAAACAACGCAAGAGGAGAACCGAAAACATTTTGACAGTTGGCTCAAAAAGTTTGCGTTTGTCCAGTTTGTAAACAAAACTTGAAGGGAAAGAAATGATTCCCTAGTTACATTTCGACTAGAGGACTTCATTATAGAGTATATTTGTATAAGAGACCCGATGATACCCTGTATATGAAAGCAGTCAGGATTGAGCAATTCGAAAAAAAGCGAACACATTCTCACATTTATAGGGTATATCGAAGTCGTGCTTTCAACTCGTCCCCTCTCAGCTCTGCTGCCAACTGGAAGCTGCTCCAAAACTTTACACGCTGCGCAAAGTTAGTGCGAACAAGCAACGGCAGCAGGTAAAAATCTGTTGAAATACTTCAGAGTTAGCAACAACAACCAGAGTTGGCCAAAACACTTAACAGACAGTAGACAGTTGGCCCAAGACAAAGCCCTCAGAACGAGTTTTAATAACAAATGTATATATATAAAGAGAACTTAAGACACTTGTGTTGTGGGTGAAGAAAAAAAAAATAGAGTAGTATATATAGAGATGTTGGACTATCAACTGTTATATGTAAATATACTCATCTATTAATGTGCATATATATATAGATTTCTTTTCTTTTTTCTACACTGACCTTCTCGACCTCTTTCAGCATCGCCCTGGATTGCAATCTGACCTTAAAAGCGCGAAGGCACGGCGCTAACCCACTCAGATAATACCCCACTTCCACAGAAGTTTTGTGTAAATTCTGTGCTTCACATGAACATTACAGTAACAGAGTGATACTCTGGCTCTACTGTTAAAGTTCGATTTTAGAATGGCCACTG